TGGTTGTTTGGTGTGGCCAGCACGTGTTAGTGAGGCCAGGCCCGCGCTTCCCCCCCGGCCGAAGCTTGGGGTTCAAGCCGGCCGGAAAAATAAACGCAGCCAAGGCACAAGCCGTACCATGGGGAACCCAAGGCCGGCGCAGCTAAGACAGGGGCAGAGGGTGGAAACAGTAATCCGGACATGAGTAACAAAGAAAACGCAGGAACAGAAGCATGCAAGGCACCCCAGAACAGGCCCGGTAGGATGTGAGACCTTCCCGAGCTCAGGCCAAGGCAATGGCAGGCTCGCCTGCGACGACGGTCAGGACCATCCCCCCTTCCCGACGCAGATTCTCGATACAGAGGCGAAAGCCAACTGAAAGGCCAGGCGGAGAGCCGAGAGCACCATCACAGGCGGCTAGGGCCGCGGAGACTGTGACAGGGTCGGATCTACGTTGCAGGAAGCGGTACAGCCATCGCTTGATGCGACGGTTGCTGAGCACAGGCGGCTGAGCCACGCCATGACCGGCTCCTGGATGGACCTGACTAACCGCCGACTCTATGTGCGCACTCAGGGCTGCCTGCAAAGGAGGATGAACTGGACGGAGAGGTGAGGCAGCAACTGCAGACAACCAAGAGAACGCACAGTCAGGGCAGAGCTGAACAACGTGAGCCGCGGACGGCAGGTACGCTGCATGAGCACCACAGTTCCAACGACAGTGAGGCCGGAAGTGGATACAGTGGTTGCAGCCACGACACACAGCATCCCCAAGCCCTTGACACCATGAGCAAGGGAGAGGCTCGGGCGGGGCCGGAGCCAGCCGCGCCCGCCCGCACGTGGAACACAGATCAAGGGCAGGGAGAGGGCCAGGAAGCGCAGGACAGGCGCACTGCGTATGAAGGATCTCAAGAGCAAAAGGCCAGGTGACAGCGTATCCCCACTCAAGCGACATGCCGGTGCGGACCGGGACCCCGCTGGCTTGGGCCAACCGCACGATTTGCTGAAGGGTACGCTCCGAAAGGCGACATCCCAGCTCAGAGGACAGGCGTGAACACATAATTGCAGACGTTGGCGCGAGCCACCTCAAGGCACGAAGGGTGACAACCCCGCCAGGGGATGTGCTCCACGCCTGGTAGCGCGCCAGCGGAGAGGGGACACCTAGAGGGATACCTGCCATTGCTGGCTCGGGCTGCGGCGCCGAGCACGCTTGCATGGAGCGCACGCAGGACGCCACGAGCCCAGTCCGAGCAGAGTAGCGAGCGAAGACCACACAGCAAGACAGCAGTGAAATCAATAGCCGGCCGGAGCCTGTCCACAAGTGACCGGTGCCTGGCCTGCTCAGCGGCGAGCTGGGCAGAACTCAGAAGGTGCGCAAAGCCTTCAGCTGCGTCAGGCAAGGCATCATCCGGCACAGGCGTGCCCCGAGCTGCCTGGAGGATGGCACGACCAAGTGCAGCAGGTAAAACACCGCGGTGGGCGAGGTCACATTCCCCCTCAGCACATACCGCTGCCGCACTATGGCCCCCAGTGTCGGCAGAAAGAATGACTTCCCGGTCCAGCGTGGGAACAAGCCAGCGCCAGGCTGAGAGCAAGGGCCAGCGGGCCTGCACCTCCGGGGCAACGCTGCCAATGATCGTTCCCAGACCACGCGCCTGCACATCCCTGTGCCACACGTGTGCAAGGCGGAGCATAAGACCATGGGCATTCAGCTGATCCAGCCGCTGTTCCAGCACATCGCGGAGTAGGTCGACCAACGGCTTCATGACAGAGCAGCTCATGATAACATGCCGAGGTGTGCCCGGCAAAGCCCTGCAGAGCGGGCAAGTGCGAGGGGAGGCAAGGATATTGCGCTCGTAGAGGTGGCGGGCAACTGACATGAGTTGCGGGTCAACCTTGATACGCTCAGTCCATCCGCCCCCAACGAGACGGACGCAGCGGAACAAGGTAACCGAGAGATCCAGCGAAGGCTGATCATGCGGGAGGCGAAGTGGGGACGAAGCACCAAATCCTGGACAGGAGGTGTAGAAGGACATGTCGAGAACATCCGAGAAGACACAGCCTTGCATAGCAGCGATTTTGCCCTGAACCGGGCGCTTCCTCCATTCCGTCAGAGCCTGCTGACGAAGGACGCCACGTATTGCAGACCGAGTGGGGGATGTGATCATGGGGTGATGGTAGGAGAGAAAAGCAAAAGGGTCCCCAGACGGGAGACGCACGCAGTCAGGAAGGGGCTGGGCGGTGAATGGGAGTCTCGCGGGCTGAGAGCATGGCGTCCCAGGCGGCTCCGGGCAGCGTGACGGGTCGAGCCCCGACTGCGCCCGGAAGGAGTCCCGATAGCTCTCCATCACGTCCGCCAGGGCCAGGACGTCGGTGTGGAGGTAGCAGTCGTGGATTTCGCGGAAGGTCTCCCAGCCCATAGCGCTCACCGCTTTCCCAGCCAGCACGCTGTCGTAGCAGTGCTGCTCCCACACCGCAGGCTTCTCCCACCTTGGCGCCGCAGAAGTGCTCGAAGGGCATGGGC